CGACCTCGACGAGAATATGATGATAGCACTCCCGCAACTCAAGGTAGGTAAGTTGCGAGCGCAGCAGAGCGAAATTGGAAAGGACTGAACCGCAACACGCCAGAGTATGAATGTGTGACCGCCCCTAGGAGCACTGGCGGGGGATCCTGCGATACTCTGACTCGGGTCCTCGAGCACGTGTTGACGCGACGCGACGCGACGCGTCGTAAGCTTGCGGGACTTGCAGGGTCGCGGGAGCTGTCAATGTCATGTTCGTCTTTGAACATGCACGAGGCATGAGATCTGGAGAGTATATAAAGTGAGACGTGGTCAAGCACAATGACAGTGCTCTGCTACACCTTGAACCGCCCACCTCTGCCACACTTACAATGGGCACAATTCCCCGACCAGGCAAGATATCCCGGCGGATCAACATATACCTTGAGGAGACAGAATGCCTTGCAAGCCAGATGGAACTTTCCAAGACTGAAGCCGACAGAGAATTGTATCGTGAAATCCTGGTATGTCTGTCGATGGTCGTCAGCGTGATGCGCTGACACCTTACTCACCCGATACTTACATGCTCGCGACCATAGAATACTCTTGGAACACTCTGCGACCGTTACCTTCCGCACCAGAAAGTGATGGACTTGCCGTCAAAGGCTCTGCTGATCGAAGAGGTATGTCAATCGATGCTTGGCTGACATCGGCATGGATGATCTTAGGACGGACGTCGTCGATACAGGCCATCCAGATACATCCTATTTTGAAAACTTACGAGAATTGTTGGCCAATTTCTACTATACTGACCATGCATCGTCAATTCCGCAAAAGTGGTCATCCTGATACGGGCATAATGGGCTGCGGATATGACGTTCCTGTAAGACTTCACTTGCGGGAGACTCTTACATTGCATATTGAGCCTACCTCACCCGGTCTTGCAAGTCTGGGGATTGTCAACAAAAGTCCCGCCGATCTGTCACTGGCTCGTCGCCACAGAAAAATGGTAGCAGCAAGGCCCATCTGGAAATGGACCGGCGCCGTAAATCTCCACCCAAGGTACAGTTAGCCCCTGTATGGCTGATGATGTCGCACTGACCTCGTATTTCAGAGTGGCTATAAGGCTGCCAATAGAGGCACTGCCGCCTCCACCACTATTGCGAACATGAGCAACACGCTAGCCAAAAAGCCGCCGAAGGACAGCGGCTTCATACAGCAATTCCTGCAAGGGTTGGCGCAAGACTTGAGCGATCTGCTTCCCGTTTTCGTCGGATACGGCGTAGGCGATGAGAATGCGCTTCGCGGTTTGCTCCGCACAGAGGACTGGCGCCGATGGCTGTACGGTTGGGTCAGCGCTGGACAACTCACGGAGTTGCAATTTAAGATGGTGAGTGATGGGCTGGGGGCTATGATAATGTAGCGGCGTTGGAAGTGCGGAGGGCGGGTATCAGGCGTTCACGCACAAATGTATGACTAGTACTTATGTCTGTTTCGTACGCATTGCGATTCTTGCGATGGTGGTAAAAGGATATCTTGTGATAGTACAACAGTAGGGGTGGTGTATGACCAGTGGGTTGGACTGTGGTCGTTACCAATACATGGAACGTGCTTATGTACAGCAGCGAACGCATTCAACAAAAACGGTCGCTGGAAAGGACGTGAGTCATATATGCAGCATTCGAGGGTAGCGACGCACCTCTTGAGCTTTGCTCGGCGCTCCAGTAGGGCCTCTGCAAGTCGTCCGTCCTTCTTTGCTTTCTTGAGCTGGCGCACGAACTTCAGCACAATGTACATCCCTCAACAGAAACAGATAGCTGACCTCGCTCTTATCTCCTGATGATACCACCGACCTCCCAGCACCCCATGCCTGATATATTTTACTAAGCCCCGGGTCAGCGCATGTCACTGTAAGACAGACAGTATTATGGCGTACTTGGTACCGGCCTCGTCGACGGAAGAGACGTCAATCAAGCCCTCTTTCCGTTTCTTCTCTTCGTCGTGCGCCTCCTTCTTGTACTTATTCTGAACTTTGACCCAGAATCGTTCCCGGAAGCCGACCTCTTCGCTGTCTCCACGAAGATCAAGCTGCCCACCCGCAACTTCGTCCACGCTGAGGTACTTCTCATACACGTTCTGGAACGCGACCATCCCGTCTGGAAGTACGACTGGCGTCCACTCTTCTTGAGGACCGCGGGCCTCGCGATCGGCGGAGACGAGGCCGTGCTTGTCGCACGAGATGAACTTGCCTTCGCCCACGCCCGTGCGCAAGTTGATGGTCGGCGACCCCGCGACGCGGGTGACGACCCACACCTGCGAGACGTCCGTCGGCGTGCGCTCCTTGATGCTCGGCGGCTCCGAGTCGTCCGTCTTGTCCTTGTCTACAGAATGGAGGACGATGCGGCCGCGCGTCGAGTTGTACGTGATGCAGAGCGGAGACGGGTCGGAGGGGTGAATGATGAACGCAGGGCCGCGAATTTCGTTTTCGCTGTCGGGGAGCACCCAAGTCTCGGGTGCCTCGTCGTTGTCGTCCTTGCGCCGCCGCCTGCTAGGGCCCTCCTCGCTGTCTTCGTGCTTGCGCTTCTTCTTCGTCTTCTCGCCCTTGAACTTCAGCTTTGAGGGACGCGGTTTCTCGCTAGACATGGTGGCAGAGGTAGTGAATGTGATGGTCCCAGATGGTGCAAATTGTCCAGAGAGCGTAGGTCAGCGTGAAGCCCAGGATGATGCTCGAGGTCGAAGGTGGCTGCTTGATGGCTTCAGCCCTGTGCGATGAAGTCACCGGCGCTTCGGGAATGCGAGTGACACCATCACGCAGGAACGGCGTGACACGCTGCCGTTACGCGTGATCTCAGAACGCCCGCGCCTGGTCGATTGAGGGAGGAAAATCTGCCATCGTCACCGCCGACATCCTCAAGACCGTCAAGATGAAGTTCAACCCCGGTGAGTACTCTGCCATTGCAGGCCGAAACGCTGTCCTGGTGCTGTCGAGAGGTTTCGAGCCGGCCGGAGAGGTGGAATGGGATGGATTGGGCGAAGGCGTTTCGGATGTGGTGTATATGGTCAGTCTGGTGTACTAATACACGATCCCCTCTGCGAGCAGACGTCTCCTCCTCCCGCCGCAAGTCGCGCAAGGCGCACTTCGCCGCGCCCTCCTCGGTGAGGCGCAAGATCATGTCCTCTTCGCTCTCCAAGGAGCTCCGCACCAAGTACAACGTACGTCCCACCTTTGGCGGTATGCTGCACAGGAGCGCCCCAGTAACACAGCGAGCAGACGCGGTCAATACCCATTCGCAAGGATGACGAGGTCCGGATCGTCCGGGGCAAGTACAAGGGTCGTGAGGGCAAGGTCACCCAGGTGTACCGTAAGAAGTGGGTGATCCACGTCGACCGTGTCCAACGCGACAAGTCGAACGGCGCGTCCGTCCCCATTGGCATCCACCCCAGCAAGGTTGTCGTTACCACCATCAAGCTGGACAAGGACAGGTACGTCATTGAAATATTCGAATTGAACCCTGACGCTGACAACCTGCCGGAAATGATAGGCGGGCAATCCTTGACCGCAAGGACAGGAAGAAGAGCACGAAGGCGGCGGGCGAGGACGTCGAGATGGTCGACGTACGTAGTCCCATTCCGTGTCGTCCTCAGTCACTTACCCCTCTTTGCAGTAATTCTTTCGCCTACCTTCCACATTGCTCTTCCTGGCTTTCCCTGCACTGTCTCTGCAAAATCTCGCATGTATGTATGCCCCTACGACATGTTTATGCTACATGGGCCTCAGGCCGACCCGCCCCACCTGGAATGACGGGAGTGCTCGCAGAAAATCGGGGTTACTGCGACCGCTCGCAGAGTCATGCATTTTGTATTGTACACGGGGATGAGGGTATTCCATTCGATGGCATGACATCAAAACTGAGTCCGGAGAAGGAGGGATGTTTAGAAAATGACATCCTCGTCCTTGCTTCCAAGCAGATCTCCTCCGCCGCCTGCGTGATCTGGGGCTACATCAGGTACCTCCTCAGCATCTTTCGCCTTCCTGATGACTTCTGCCGCCTCTGCGTCTCGTTTCTTCTTTCCCTGGACTTTCTTCAAGCTGGAAGTAATCAATGGCATCGTAAATCAGGGCACGAAACCAACACTACACACCGGAAGAACTCTTCTCGGTCCATCTCATCCAGCTCGCTTGAGATATACTTGATGGTATTTTCTAGACGGGGGATGATAACGTGTTCGATAGCGTTGACTCGGCGGTTGGTAGCACGGATGACTTCGTCGAGGATCATGAAGGCCGTCTGGAGGGATGCCAGGTCGACCAATGTTTCGACTGCCTTCGCATACACCTCCTTCGCACGCAGAACTTGCTGTCCACCGCGACCAAGACCGGTCAGATTGAAGTCTAACAGTCCTTGTGAGCCGTGCGCTTTTGCAGAACGAACGTAGGTACGCACCTGATCCTGGTACTCGGTCCACTTCGAATGCGGGAAGGATAACACCGGACACATTGTCCTGCCGCGCCTTGACCTTGAACGAGGCGGACTTGGCCTGCTCCTGGACGAGGTACGAGATGTCGCCCGTCGCGTACGTGACCTCGGCGAGCGAGAACGACGCAAGCTGCATCACGCGGCCCATCTTCCGCTTCGCCTAAAAGGTAAAGGTCCAGGTTATGCAAGGTTATGGACGTGCATTGTTTGTAGGAGACGCACCTCGTCTACTCTGCGGAGGATAGCCCTGAAGCGGGTGGTGAGAGCATCGCGCTTCTTCGCGAGCAAGGAGTGTCCCGTCTGGGCTCCCTTGAGGCGGAGTTTGGTGTTTGTGAGGGCCATCCGTGTGGGGAAGACGCTTTCTCTTGGTCCTGTGCCCGACATGGTGACAGAAGTGGCTCGAGAGCGAGGATCGCGACAAGGTGCGTAACGGGCAGAGGGAAGTCGGATAGTGAGCCTACTCAAGGGGGCATAGACTAAGACAGGCATAGACGTCACTGACGACTGATTTCTTGACTGTGGCTCACTTGATTAACTTTCTTTCAAGCCGGGATAGCTCAGCTGGGAGAGCAACAGACTGAAGTGACTTGTCATCTCGGGCTTCTGGAGGTCGCGTGTTCAATCCACGCTCCTGGCATTCGTTTTGCCATTTTCTACGACGTAATATACGATACACTCCCAAAATGTTTTTGAATGGAGGACGGAAGGTTGTATTGTGCATATAAGGTTCGAAGCCGTTGCGTCACAGTGCTGAGCATAGCTGACTGAAGATGCATTCCAAGGTTGCCACAAACCCCCGCCGCCCTGTGCTCGGACCAGCATCTTCGATAGGCAGCTCCGAGTCTGATTCTACGTCGCAAGGCTGCGTGTGTCCCTCTTGAATCTTGACATATCAGAGCGCTTCTCAACTCTATCACAACAGGTAGCATTCTCCGAAGTTACTCAGGCTCGCTCAGACCGGGACGACCTCCGAGCAGAACGCCAAGGAGGCCTCTATCAGCAGGCCCCGCGCTATGCCTTCAAGTATGCTGATTGACGTGATAGAACCGTGCGGATCGTGCTCGCGCTCGCAGCCGACATTGCCCCGTCGCACCTTGAGGCGTCCTTCTCCTGCATAAAGCCACACCGATGCCAGTGTGAGCTCTTCTCGGAATACAACAGGTACGCTGCGAACTCACATGTTTGGCGCAAGGTTGCACCGAACCAAGTTACGTTGCAGAGCTTCCGTCTGAGTTCATCCAGACAGGGGGGACAGGACAGGGGTAGACCGTATAGGAAACCCCCGAGGTTGGTCGCTTGTGCACCTGTGACCTGCGAGCCGCGGTTGCCAGTGTCCCCGAAGCAGGACAATACCGCGGCCAAAGATGAGTAGCCCTGCTCACAAGATAATACTCGTTAACGTATATGGATCGCCACGGCGCCCGCGTTCTTGGTTCGGAGTGAAGAGTACTCGAGCCTCCATGATCCTCCATATGAAATGTCCACACGGGACAGCTGCTGCGTTCGCAGCGGTCTCGTAAACCGGCCTCATGTTTGGAGAGGGTAATCAATCGTTCCTCCCGCAATGCGCCTTGTTGCCACCTCGAATTAGTCGGATAGTACTCACCCTAGTTTCATGGCATAAAGACGTCTTGTGCTAGCGTTAGATTGTACACGGCACTGCATCTTACTGCATGTAGGGTCACTTGCATAATCTGGATGGACGGGACTGTCGGGTTTGAAACCCGACGGCCGGTCGTGCGGGTATGACTCGGGTGTTGCAACGGCATTATGGTAGTATTTGGTGTTTCCTGTTTGTCATGCGCGTTCTAACAATCCCATCCGCCTACCACTGAACTTTCTTTCTCAGGCTGCCCATACTAACGCCTAGATAGAAGCTCCATGAGAGTATGGGGTGGGGTGGCTTGCTAATCGCAGAGTACGGCAACGTTCTCATAGGGTAACGTCCCTGTATTCCGGCATCGCGCCTGTCCAACACGGATAGAATTATACACTCCCTGATTCTGGTCTTTGCAGTGCATACGAATAGACAGGGCATACTCGTCGGCAGTGTGAGTTTGGTACCTTAAACCACATGCACAGAGCGGTAGCCTTCTGTACGTTTTCCCGAGCCTGCAACCACGCATATCCCGAACACACCCCGCCACATCGATAAAGCCCAAGGATGCTCCTTTCCGCCGTCGTACGACCGACCAAACCTTGGCGAGCACCTACCTTCTACAACCGACCGCATGAACAATATTCAGGGGCACATACGGATGCGATGGCGCTATCTCCGCCTCGAGGCCTCCCATGCTGCCCGGCGGACAGACAAAAGGTGGACGATGCCGAACTTGCGACATTCTGTATCGACCTTCGCGTCCATCTGATGGCTTAGCGCTGAATAGCGGGACGATAGCATTAGAAAGCTCTTGAGAACATCGTCATCGCCTTTGAGCATGCTCTTTCTGTCATAAGTACGGAATCCCTCGGGCAGTGAGGGTGGGATTATGTGGATTGTGCAGAGACGTCCACGCCTTCTATCCCTTCTATCACAAACGCCACGCGCCACCGATCACAGTATGTATCGTGTTCGGGCGCGTGTAGCGCTAGTAGTCCAGACGAGGCGATCTGGCCCCACAAAGCAAGCCAGGACATACAAGGCAGGCTCGCGACATACGCGTGGCGCTGCGCACGCACCTTGCTCTGCGCTGCAGACAGCGTTACTGTGACGCCGTAGGTCGCTGGTGACCGCTGCGAGATCGTTCGCCGCCTATGCGCACGGCACTGCTCCACTCCCCGGAGGGTGAGTCCCTCAGGGACAGACCTCCGCATGTCGGTGCACAGCCGATGCCTCGCGTCCGCTCCTATCCGGCTCGTCCGGGCTGCCTGCCCACGGCTGAAGCTTCCTGCATCAGCCACGAGGCGGGACGAGCGGGCGTGGGCGCCCGCCGCCCGCCCACATGAGCACCTCGCGCCGCAAATCGAGGCGAATGTCGCGAAAATAGACCGTGCCGTATTCCTTGGGGCGTCCGCAGAAGGGTGTTCGGGCCCACGCCGCGTATTGGGGTTTCCTGGGCCGTTGTCAGCGTGCCGTGATACCTGGGACGTGGGGCGCGCGAGGTCGAGCGAGGGGAATGTGGTGCGTGTGCAGAGCAGCTGCGTGGGGCATGTCGAGCACAGCGAAGGGCGACCCTGCGTTCTGGGCTGTAGACCGAGCGCTACGCGGAACTCTACTTGGAAATTTGAGCGCCGCACTGAGTGCCACCAAATTTAAACCCAGAGGTCGAGGGCGCGTACCGTCGAGGACGCCTTTCCGTACGTGGTCTACATGGAACAAGCGTCCGGGAGGGCCCCCAACATGTCGCGCGCGAGGCAGCGAAGAAGGGTCACCAGGGCGTTCCGCGCCGAGGCAGCGTGCGGGACGTCGCGCAAAATGGAAAGAATAAGACGTGTGTCGACCAGAGGCGGTCCTCCGCAGTGCGTGCCGGCATAGATAGACCACCTCGCGCTGTGCTTGGCCAATATCTAGGCTGTCGAGCCAAAGCACGCGGTGCAACGTGCGATCCAGGCGGCCGAGCTCCATGACCTCGTAGGTGTCGACGTCGAAGAGCGCTCCGTGTCCGTCATGGCCGTTGCCCGCACTGAGTTCCGGCGCTTGAAGAACGCAGATCGACACCCATCAGCTCTCGTTAAGGCGGAACACGATCGCCCGGGAGGCGCAAATGAACCAATGTTCCTGGGAGGCTGTGTGAGTCCTATGCACGCAGGATACCAATTCAGCGAATTACGCTCCCCGAGATGATCAAGCAAGAGATACGATGTGTCTGCCACAAAGTTCGGGGAGCCTGCTTGGCAATGACTACGGCTTCCCGCGCTTGCCATTGCCCGCACTGGAGAGCTTGTAGTCATAACGACTACTGCTTGGACCAGCCCTAAGCCGTGCGGCCTGACAGGCAGCACAAGACCTCTCTAGAGTGTATGCCTGAAAATCAATACGAAGGCACCGTCGTTCTCACAGCAGCCTCCTGTTCACGTTCCGGGGGGACCGACCCCACAGCCCGCGAACGGGACGATGCATGCAGGGGGCGGACATGACGACAGACGCGATGGGGGCCAACCGCAGAGAACGGAGATCGAAGGAAACTGTGGACACGGACCTCGACCTGCAGGATGCGGGGCGGCATCTCAGGGGGATGCTGTGGGTCCTGACCTTCCGCACCAGACGCGATGACGGCCCGAAGAGCCTTGAGGGCGTGTCCGCTACCCCGAGCGTAGCGATGCGAGGCACGTCCTGCGTTGAGCCTTGAGGCGAGCGGGGTGTTATGCGGCTCCAAACGGGTCAGGGAATATCAGATAATTTACGTACTGTGCTATTCGACGCTTGCAACGCGGTCGGCTACGCGCTCCAAGGGGTATTGGGAAGTGCAAATGTCTGCGCTTGTAGAGCAAAGTTGACAGAAGTAGGCATAAGCGTCTTGAGAAGCGCTAGACTACATACCCGGGGATGACAGAACCATCGCCGTCCAACGAACCACCACGATGCAACAGTGTCGTAGCGAGGGCCGGAAGAAGCATCTCCGGTCACTGTCGGGCCATGCGGCGTGTCGACACACCTGTAAGGCGAGGCAGGATAGGAGAGCCGTTGCGCAATTGCGCACGGTGCGAGCAAAAGCTACCACAAAGCCGAATAAACGGCCGCTGTCGGAGTTACGGAGTAGGCGATCCCGACCTCCTTGTTAACTAGGTTCTGATGCAGAGACAATGTTCTGTATTCCAAGCTGCAAGCGAAAGAATTCCTGCGTAAGTCATGGTGCGGCAGGACGAGAATACAACCGCATACAGGCTGACGGAAAAGGCTGAATCAGCTCCTCGGGCAGCATACCAGTCTTTCTTCGGCTGAGTCAGAGCGTAGCTCAAGTAACTGATTCCCATATTTCAAACGTTCCGACACGATACTGAAGCCGAGAAATAAGGAGAACATAGTGGGACATGGACGGAGGAGAGAGAGGAGGATGAGGTGGCGAGCCGCGCCAAGCGAAGGCCGATCGCGATACCCGAGCAATCCCCGATCCCGATCGATGCATCGGCTTTCCCCGCGTTCCCCAGATTGGATCGCAAGTCCCTTCACAAATCGCAACGCCACAACTCATCCCCGTCCTGGAACATGCTACCTCAACGAAATTGCACCGGACGTCTTACTCCAAGCGTCGTGCTCGGTAGCATTCTCCACGCTTCGGGCGGTATTCATGCCGCCGACATATGGGCGTGCATCTATCCGCACAGAGCATTCCATGCCGGTACATTACGACGCAGCCGCACAAAGTACATGAGACAAAGAAGCTTCCAGCCCTCATAATCTACACGGATATCCTCCATTAGTGCAGCACGCGACTACTATATGGGCGACCTCTCATCTGCCTCAGTCAGCTGCAGCAGTCTTCCCCGCAGCCGTCAGCACACGCCGCTCGCATGCAGGCCTGCAGACTGCCACCGCAGGGTTAGGTTGTGCCACTGCATGAACGTTCGTTTGTACCCGTCCCTGCAAGACAATAGAGCGGGTCAGCGGAGGCCGGGAAGACATCCGGAGCCACGAAAGATACGCACCTTTGCACGCACACAGATGAGATAGATACGCGATGGATGAGTGGCACAAAC